TGGTGATGGTGGTGGTGATGACAGTGGTGGTGATGGTGCTCACGGTAGTGGGGACAGTTATGGTGTTGGTGGTGATTATGATGATGGATATGGCGAGGTGGTGGTGGTGACAAGGGTGACTGCGGCCATGTTTGAGACAGTGATAGGCCAGCTGGAGGCAGGGAGGGGAGGACCACCCTGTGAATTTGACTCGGGCTGATTGGCATCTCCTAATGAGGAACATTCTGGGCCCCTGAGATTGTATGGACAGCTACGTTTGAAACCTGTCCCCTGAAACAGTCCTCACCCCCAGGTCTGTACTCCCTTTATTGTTCACACAACATCCTTGAAGATACCGTGAACGCTAGGCCCAGTTCTCATGCTGGAGACACAGCATTGACCGAGAGACCCTGTCCAGGCCACTCTCTGCTCGTCAGGGTCATCAACCAAGCCCAGCCTCAATCGCTCAAATTGAGTGTGGGGGTTCCTGTACACCCACTGTGTGGGGCAGGCAGGAAGTATCAGGGAGTTCTCCCGCTCCACTCCCCAACCTCAGCCCCGACCCCAGGAGCCAGTCTAGGGATGGCTGAGCTCAGTGTCCATGCTGTAGTTCCCAAGGTCGGGTGGGGGTTTCCACCACCTCAGCCTTCCTGGGCTGGGTCACCTTGCCCAGTCCCTGGACAGCCAACACGGGTCACCCCTGTTTCTACTCTGGGACCCCACCCCTCCTTCCTCTAGTGTCTCTTTTACTTTCAGCCTGTGCCACTTGCAATTGGCTCTTGGGTCACGTTCCGTTTATGGGAAAACCAAAGGACGATGGTGTGGATGGTCGATGTTCACCTGGAAAGAGAGGACTTAGTCTGCAGGCCCAGCACCTTCTCCTCACTCAACCCCTTGCCTGTCGTTTTTTTCTCTTGCCAGGATTACCCCTCCTACCCCGGCTTCCCACAGAACCAGTACCCCCAGTATTTCAGCCCATCATATAACCCTCCCTACGTCCCAGCCAGCAGCCTTTGCTCCTCGCCCCTCTCCACGTCCACCTACGTCCTCCAGGAGGCCCCTCACAGTGTCCCCAACCAGAGTTCTGAGTCACTGGCCGGTAAGTACATGTGTCTTTGCTCTCAGTTCATGCCTGTGGCCTGAGCTCCCGCATGAAGATTTGTGAGCCGTGGCCCAAAAGAAGCACACGCTCGTGTGGCCTTTTCTCATGACCTCTCTATCCTTAGTAACAAGCATGTATTAAGCATCTACTGTTTTCCAGGCACTCCTTGGTTTGGTCTGGGAATTTTTTTAAGATGTATATATATATATATATATATATATATATGTATGTATGTATATATATATATAAATATATATATATAAATATATATATATACATATATATATATTTGTTTGTTTGCATGTGTGCATGTTTTGTTGGCGTAAAACTGGAGTTACAGGTGGTCGTGATTTCCCATGTGTGTGCTGGGAACTGACCCTGCATATCTGTGAAAACAGCAAGTGCATTCAGCCGCTGAGCCATCTCTCCAGCCCTGGGGCACTGCCCACTTGATCTTTGTAGACTGGAATCGGATAATCTCACAGATACATTTACAAACTGGAATAAGGGGAGCCCCAGTCCACAGTGGCTTCTCACACACACACACCCCGGCCCCGCCTGCACCTACATCTTCCACAGTGCAGATTAGAGTAGCAAGTAACTGAATGGTAACTGCGGCGCTGGGATTCGAACCCAGCCCACTGGGCTTCCTCTTCTATACTGAGCTACTCATTGGCTACGTACAACTGAGATGTTTTCTAAAGCTCACAGGGGGACAGAACTGGTGGGGGATCGGGGAACCTGAGCAATGGTTCCGAAATAAAGAGGGCTTGCTGCCCCTGCCCGGGCCTGAGTTTGTTCTCAGCGCCCACCTTGAGCGGCTTACAACCGCCGATAATCACAACTTCAGGGGATGTGACGCCCTCTTCTGGACTGTGCAGGTACTGCACACACACACTCTAAGATAAGATAAATATATCTGAGAGCAAGCCAGCCGCCCTCTAGTGCCCATTCTCTCTGAGGTTCTGCTGCCAGTACAGGCCTCAGCCTTCTGGGACCCTCACACAGCCCTGAGGCACATGCATCTCCGATGCACGACAGTTTTAGGGAACCCCTGTCCTGAACAGGACTTTTAGGCTCTAGAAGATAAAGAAAAACAGTTTATGAAAGAAAAAACATTGGTTGGGGAGGAACAAACACAATGTTGGAGTTGGGTGGGGGTCAGCATAGCTTCAGGGGTTCCAAGGAACTATGGAGCATTGGTCTTGGATTTCAGGACTTCATACGCACAGCCATTCCAGAACCAGGAAACTAAGAGGAAGGGGAAGGGCAGGGAAACCTGGAACTCCAGAGCCAGGACCAGAGCCTGTACCCCTGTCCTGGGTCCCACCTCAGCTGTGAGCTGTACGGCCCAGGCTAGTTCCAAAGTTGCAATCCTCCTGCTGCAGCTTCCCAACTATTACCAGAGGTTGCTGTCTGTACCAGGTGTTTCCCGATTCTTGGTGTCTCGTTCAAAGAATTCATGAAGTGTCCCACAATAAGCAAAGCCACAGGGGTTTTATGGGGTGGGGGGGAAGCAAAGCAAAAGCACAGAGTGGAAACGCTGCGGGGGAGGGGTGGGCGCCCGCAAGGTTACTCCAGAGCCGAGTGTTACTTCTTCGGCTTCCTGATGGGGATCCAGGAGGAGGAGGAATTGGTTGCTATGGGCAGAGTGTGGGTGATTTTCTGTTTTGACTGACAGGCCTGGGTTATATAAACCTTGGTTAGCTGCAGATCCCCTTTCCCATGATGCCTCTGGCTGAATCATATGCATGCCCAATCATGCATAGGCATAAGATGGTAAACAGAAGATTTTTTCCCCCTAAAAGGTCTCTTAGAGGACAGTTTGTCTTATTGTGCATGTACCCAGAACCAGTCCAAATTGGACCAGCCCACTGCTCCTAGTTCCAGGATGTGTTTGGCCACAAAAGGGAGTTACTGTGAGGCTGCTTGCTCGGGAGTCACTAGGGGGTGGGGCGGGGTTAGAGGTGGAGTGACAGGTTGCTTTGTCTCATTAAGGAGCGTGCGCACGTGTGTGCGTGTGCGTGTGCGTGTGCTCGTGCATGTGTAGGAGCACAGGTGAGGAGTCCTGGGTTGCTAAGCTATTCTGCAAATGAGGTGTCTCATGGGTGCTGGGTCCCAGGGGCACCCAACATAGAGTCTCATTCTTTTGCAGTTTTGTCTTATTTGAGTCAGGGCTCCTGAAGCCCGGGCTGTCCTTGAACTCAGGATGCAGCACCCAGTCTTAAAGTCATCCCTTCTGCCTCTTCGCTGAGTCTATTGGTGACCTTGGGCTTGGAGAAGCGCCACAGCCTGATGCCTTGTGGACATTATTTACTAGCTATTCCTTGTTTAGGGAGTGGGAAGAGAGCGGTGGGGAGAGCCCTGCCCCCCCCTCCTGTGTTCTGGGTGTGTCTGTGGATCCCCAGCGTGTTCCTTCCCCAAGGAGCTCTTTATCCCTGTCCTGAAGACAAATGGAGACACCTGGCCAAGTGTTTCGCCGTCACCTTTCAAGGGAGCGTCAGGCTTGAGTGATTTTTAATCTTCATAGTTTCATCCCAGAATAGTTACTGAACACGCAGTCCCTGCTCACTTAGCAACTTCAAAATCATTTTCTTTGGAGAAAGAACATGAAGTCTAATCAGTGCCTCTTCCTGACCTTGGACTATCCTTGGCATTCTGTTTCCCTGAATGTGGCCTCTGCACACTGGTTTCAACAAAGGAGAAAAAAGGGGAGGGCTGGTGGGAAATCGGGGTGGAGGGGCACAGCCAGCAGGAGGATGGACCAGTAGATCCAGAGTTCAAGGATGAACTGGCTCGTCTGTTGTGATTTGGGTTATGTGGCTCACGGTGTCTCTGGGGTGTTCGGTCCATGGCTCATTTATCCCTCGGCCTCGTGTATAACAAGAAATAGTCAGATTGGCTTTTACTGTGACTCACAAACTCACAGAAAATTGAATGGCATCACAGGGCTGGAGAGATGGCTCTGTGGTTAAGAGCACTGGCTGCTCCTCCAGAGGACACACGTTCAGTACCCACCACCCACAGGGTGGCGCACGATTGTTTGTCCCAGGGGATCTGATGCATATGGTACGCAGGCATGCACATAGGTAAAACACTCATTCATAAGAAGTAAATTAATCTAAAGGTTTTCATCATCTCATGGCATCAGTAACTGTCACCTCTAACCAGGGTGCCTAGCCGCTTTTCCCCAGTGTCTGTTGCACAGGAGGAGCATTTAGCACATGTGCGCACGCATGCACACAGGCAAGCTCGGGCGTGTGCGCACACATGCAGGCTTTTAGTGTTTTCCACAAAACTCTGCTTTTGAAATTGTCTAGGGTGCCTGGTGTCTCCAAGCTACTGCAGTGGTTTGACTGACAGATCCCATGGGCTCTCAGCCTTGCCTAGGCCACACTGGAAGACACGCTGCTCTGACAGGCAGCAGTCTCTGTGCAGACATCAACAGTGCCTGTACAGGGCATCTCAGCAGCAGCTGCTCCCTCCAGCAGCCCGTGAGGCATTTGCCGAGACAGACCCGCAAGTTCCTGCCCGGCCAGCATTCGGGACAGTGAGCCCAGCCTCTGTGGTGGCAGTGGAATTAAGACAGTGATAAATAGCAAGCACTTCTGGACATTTCTCAGACGTTTGCAAGCTCAATAATGCACTTCCGCATAACCTGGAGGTCAAAGAGGAAATCGAAAGGAAATAGGAAAGTACTCTGAATTGAATGAAAATTAAAACACACAACGTATCAAAATGTATGAGATGTCATGAAAACCCCAAATGGGAAATTTTTAGCAGTAAATGGTTGTTTGAAAAGAAGAAAGGGGGTTGCCAACAGAACACCTCGTCTTTTTAATTTTTAAAAAATATTTACTCATTTTATGGGTATGAGTGTTTGCTTTTATACGTATGTTTAACATGTGTGCTCTGCCAGGGAGGCCAGAAGAGGGAATGAGACACTTTGGAACTGGAGTCACAGATGTATGTGACTGCTGTGAGGTGCTGGGAATTGAACCCAGGTCCTCTGGAAGAGCAGCCAGTACTCTTAACCACTGAGCCGTCTCTTCAGCCCTAAGCCCTCACCTAGCTTAAGAAACTCACAACAGAGACAAATTAAACCCAAAGTAAGCAGAGGCGCAGAAATGAGACCAGGAGGGAAATCAACCACAGCTGAAAACAGAATGAAGGAGGGGGGATGAAATGACCACAGAGGAGAGGGGTGCCGTCACCCTCTGCCTGAGCTGACAACTTAGATAAAATGTGGGTTCTGTGAAAAGCAGAAACTGCCTGCCTCACGCAAGAAGAAAGTGCACCCCTGCACAGCCATGCACTCAGCAAACAGACTAATATTTGTTGTTGAAGATCAACAGAGCTGAGGTATGGCTCTGTTGGAAAAGCACTATCCTAGTGTGCATGAAGCACTGGGCTCCAGCATCAGTACCACACAGGGCCAGACACGGTGGCACACACCTGCCATCTCAGCTCTGGGAAGCTGGAGGCTGGAGGATCAGGAGTTCAAAGTCATCCTGGGCTGCAGAGTAAAGTCTGCTCCAGCTTGAGCTATGAGAGACCCTGCCTCAAAGGAAAACAGAAATCACAAGGAAAATCTACTGAACATTTTAGTGACAATGGCTGATTCTTCACGAACATGGAAGAAAATTAAAGCTAAATCCTTCGTGAGGCACCCTCTGAGGGCATCAGTAGCCGGAAGCCAGAACTGGACACGGACATTATAAGAAAATCCCAGGCCACACCTTTCATAAACAGAGCTGCTTCTAAAGAAAGAAAGAGTGGGGCAAGACCAAGCTTTTATTGATTGGGTTTTTTTCCTAAGGATGAAAAAAAAAAAAAAAAAGGTTTAAAATTGTAATTCAATTGATATAATTTACAATATTTGGAAGCTGAGGGATGCAGAAGTACTTAGCATTTTCAAACCTCTAAATCAGGTGGAAAGGGAGAGAGGGCCTCTTCACCTCAGCCAGGAGGAGAGGGGGAAGGGAAGAGAAAGGTGGGTGTTATCAAGTTTACAATCTGGAGGAAACCCAGAACTCTTGGAGTTCATCCGAGGACCCCACACACACACACACACACAAGACTCCACCGTTACCACTCTGGTGATCAAGCCCTCAAAGCATGAACCTGAGGTAGAAATGGCCGGAAGCTCGCCTCACTACGGGCATGCATTTTCATCTCTCTGCCTGCTAGGAGTCTTCAAGCCCTCAGCCTGGGCTGCTCCCTGAAGCCAGCCGCCCTCCTTCAGTTCTTCCCGATCTTCGAGCATGTGCCCCTTCACCCAGGAAGCCTTCCCTCACAGACCCCTCATGTAATACCCCTAGCAACACCCAGCACCTTGCATGTGCAGGCGCACAGTTGTGTGTGGAAACCAGATGAGAATCTCAGGTATCACCCTCAAAAGCGCTGTTCACCTCCTTTGAGACGAGGTCTCTCATGGGCCTGAAACTCACCAGTTAGGCTAGAGTAGCTGGCCAGCTAGCCCTGAGCCAGACCTAGTTCTGTCTCCCCGGCACTGAGATCACCCTCTGGAATCGAACCCAGGACCTTGGGCCTACACGGCAGGTGTTGAGCTGTGCCCTCAGTGTTTGCTGGAGGTTTATAAAGTGCTTGAGCCTCCAGACAGGGCCCAGAACCTGAAACGGGGCCTGATGTCTATGGGCTGGGAGAAAGTCACAATGGCGTGGCTGGTAGTGACCAGCGGTTTAATCTTATACTCTTGACCTCCGGTGCCGTCTCTGGGCCTCCCCTGGGGGTTGCAAGGAGAGGGCAATGGTGTGATAGTCCCCAGGAAGAGAGAGCCAGCCAAGCTTCTGACCTGTGGCTCATCCCTTGTCCCACCCCAGGTGACTACAACACCCACAACGGGCCCTCCACACCCGCAAAAGAGGGCGACACGGACAGACCACATCGGGCCTCGGATGGGAAGGTGCGCGGCAGGTCAAAGAGGAGCAGTGACCCCTCCCCAGCGGGAGACAAAGAAAGGGGGGAAACGGGGGTGTTTCCCCGGGGGGGGGGGGGAGAAGCCGATCTCTATCTGTAGCTCTCCAAGCTTTTGGTCAGTCACAACCCAGGGGTGAAACCTGGAACAAGTAGGTTGACTGTAGAGGGTCCTGCTGGGTAACTAAGCTGGGGAAGGGCCACCTGAGAGCCAGCGGGGCCCATGCTTTTTACTCCTCACTGGCATCCAAGTCCCCTGGGGAACCATGGGGCCCTCTCAGAGGCTCCTGGGCAAGCTGGAGAAGTGGAGTATGCCACTGCCCCTTAGGCTGCCGAACCCCAAAAGGGGCTACACTCGAGAGCCCCTGGTAAGGGAAGATGATGGACAGGATCTTTATCTGGAGCACAGTGGTGGGGACACTTTGTAAAGAGAGGTGTCAGGTCCCATCCCAGACCAAGCGACAATAGGCAAGGGCCAGTTTAGGAAGTCCGGCTTGTCCCAACCTGGGGCTGGCCCCGGGTCTACATCCTCAGTGTGGCCCTAGCAGCTCAGGCAGGGATGTTCCGAGGCTGGCGACAGAAGCACCTGCAGGGACCTTCACCCTCAAGCTGCAGGCGCGCTTGGTCACACTTCCTCATGTCCAGGTCCCAGTGGCTCCAGTGTATAGCCAGAACTGAGGAGGCAGGTCTTCAGGACGTGCTGGCACTTGTCAGATAGGAATCTTCCCGGAACCAGCCTGCACAGGGGAAGAAGACAGCGGGGACATAGGCCTCATGAGTGCCCTTGAGGTAGACCCAAGTGACCATGGTGTACACAGGGAAGAAAGCAAGCAAGTCCAAGGGTCTATGCTGCTCTCATTGCTAGCTGCCATGGGCCTTTGGCCTTTGAGCAAAGACGGGATGGGGGCTCACCGCGGCACCATGGCACCTGGACCTTCCGGGGCTCCTGGCAAGATAGCCACAGATGCAGACCCTGCCAGCATCTCTGTCACTCCTGAAAGTCTCTGGCCCTGCATTTCCATCCAATAGGCTGGCAGAAACCCCATTTCATCTCTGAGCCCCGGCCTTGCTCCCAGGAATGCCTGAAAGTCCTGGGGTTTGTGTGGTCTCGGGACGCAGAAGCACGGCCAGGTTTGTTACTGCCTGTGTGGTCAGTGAGAGGCCAGCTGCCTGCCCGTTGCCCTACTGTGCACTGGCCATGGAAATCCCTGTTGAGTGTAAGGACATTGCAGAATCAGCCATCCAGTCTTTGGTGGCAAAAAAACAGAAACCACAGAAACCCCAGGAAAGGAGGGATGTGGAGAGGGGCCCGAAACAACCAAGGAGAGAAGAGGAGCCTAGAAGGATGGTTCCTCCAGTAAAAAGCTTGTTACACAAGGACCTGAGTCCTCAGCACCCATGTAATACACCAGACTAGACGATGGGGTAGACTGGGGGGGGAGGAGCAGATGCAGTTGGATCCTGAGCATTTAGTGACCAGATAGTCTCTAGCCAGTCAGTGATCTCTAGGTTCAATAAGAAGCCCTATTTCAAAAGCTGAGGTAGAGAAACAAGGAAGACATTGGACTTTGCTATCTGGCCTCCACGTGCATGAACACACATCTGCGCGCGCACACACACACAGTTAGATTAAGGAAATGCAAACCCAAGGAACTACCAAGGGACAGTCAGGGTGTGGTCCGACCAAGGAGCAGGCTGTTTGAGAACCCAGCACCTCGAGACCCGAGGTCAGATCAAGGCCCAGCTTAAGTGTTATGCATGTCCCTTCCTTGGCACCCTGTGGGGATGGGGATGAGGACAGAAGACCTGGGTGGACCCAAGACAGGAGCGCACACTACTGAGGCCCCTGGCACCACCTGCCCACTGGTGCGGCTCTAACGGTGGCTTGTGGCTTTGCTGTCCAGTCCTGGAAAATATTGTCCTTGTGAACCTCACCCTCTGTGCGCTGTTAGCCGTCAACAAACTACACACTCCAGGACTCTACCAGGGAGAGATCCCCCTGCCCTCAGCCTGGGCATTCCATCCTGCCCTCCCTCAGGCCCCGCCCCCTTTGCTTTGAGATAGCTTCTCACTATGTTGCCCAGGGTGGTCTTAAAGTCCCCGGCTCAAACCAGCCTTCTACCTCAGCCTCCCAAATAGCTCCACATCCAAAGGAATGCTGCTGTATCCAGCTGTGTATCTCAGGCTGAGCTGTGTTCCTCCTGCCTCAGCTTCCCAGTGCAGGCACAGTACCCTGCTTCTATTCTTATTTTGAATGGGGTGGGACTTAAGACAGGGTCTTAACTCTATAAGCCCAGGCTAACTTCAAGCGTCAAACTCCTTTGCCTACCTCAGTCTCCCTGGTGCCGGGATTACAGGCAAGCATGGTCCTGGCTTCCCCTCCCCCTAGTCTGAAAGCCACCCTTCTCACTGAACTGGCGATATCCTTACACTGCCTTCAGTGGGGTTTTGGGTCTTTTCAAAAAGGCTCCTGCTGTCTGTGTTCTGCCTCCCTCCCACATTCCTGCATGTCTCCTCGGGCTTGAAAATGCTTAGAGTAGCACAGGCAGCCATACTCCCTTCTGAAGAACTCTGTCCTCACCCGCTGTAGCCTCTGCTCTTGATGGGAATGGTGGGAGGGGACAGACATTCTTCCCATGCCACGGAGGAGAGGGTGGGAGGGAGGGTCAAAGCATAGAAGTGGGGCTCACAGGGCAATATTGTTCTGGAAGCACCTGCTTCCGAAATACCAGCAGATGAGAATGGGCACCAAGGTGTGAGCACTGCTTTGCTTTTGAGTGTAACGTCAGCAGGTGCATTCACACCTCTTCCGTCTTCCGGTGGTTTCCTAGATGACAGAAGCCTGGGAGAGAGGCCAGTGTTTAGGTGGGAGTTCTGAGCTTGTGTTAGACGAAAACCCCTAGGCCAGAAACCAGCTTGAGCTGGCTGACATGTAAAAGCAGAAATTGTTTGAAGGATAGAGAGCCTTCTTGAAACTCAAGGGTGATGGACAGCCAGGCTATGGAGCATCAGAGAGCTGATGGGACCTGGAAAGGAGCCTGGGAAGTGGGACGAGGAAATTCAGTTAGGCTCTCTCTCCTCCAGTGTGAAGGAGTTAAGAGCCCCACACTGTGCCTTCTCGATGGCCCTGCCCCATACAGGACCAGACAGTGGTCTGCCCTGCCTCAGGCCACCCCAGCTTCCCCAACCTTTACAGACACCAAGTCCTAGGGAAGCAAGCTCATCTCCATCTGCAATGGGCCTTCTTTTCCCCCTCAGGCCACCTGGCTACTAACAGCCCTCAAAGATGAGGCTATGGCTTTCTTTCAGACCCCAAATTTTAAATCTCAGATCTATCTGAGGTAGTCAGAGATCCCACCCAGGCCCAAGTCATAGTAGCCATGGATAGCGACCCACAAAATGTCCCCGGGGGCTCACCCACTAGGACCAGGCTCGGGCTGTTGAGATGAGGAGATGGGGTTAGGACTGCTTGAGGAGAGTTCAGTGGGTAAGGAAGTGGAGCTCACAACAGATCTGAAGATATTCACAAACTGCTTTTTAATTCTACAATTAAGACGTCTAGGCTAAACTGATTAAAGGCTTAAGTTCAACTGAATAAAAACTGGGCACATTTGAACTTCAAAACATTGCCTCCTCAAAAGGGATGATTTCTTGACTGTTTTACATTGGCCTCTGTGGCCCTTCATAAGGAACACACTTGCTTCTGGAGAGACGGCTCAGTGGTTAAGAGCACTCGCTGTTCTTCCAGAGGACCCAGGTTCAGTTTGCACATGCTGATTCATAATGGTCTGTAATTCCTGTTCAAGGGAATCTGGCACCCTCTCACATACTCGCAGGCAAAACGCCAACACACATTTTAAAAATTACCAAATTGGGGGTGGGGAAGCGCCAGGCTTTGGTGGCACACACTTTAATCCTAGCGCTTGAGAGGCAGAAGCAGGCAGAACTCTGAGTTCGAGGCCAGGACAGGCAGGAAAAGTGAGTTCCAGGACAGCCAGGGCTACACAGAGAAATCCTGTCTTGGAAAAAGAAAAAAAGAGAGAGCGATAGAGAGAGAGACAGACAGACAGACACTCTGGAATGAGGAGACGGCTCAGTGGGTGTTGTACTTTGTTTTCCTGTTGATGCAATAACACGACCAAGAGCAGCTGAGGAAAGGAAGGGCTTATTTGGCTTACTTGGGACCAAAGCCCCTCTGGCAGGGAAGCCAGGACAGGAACTCAGAGCAGGAAGCAGGTGTGGAAACTGTGAAGAACAGTGCTCGTTCACCGGCTCACACTCAGCTAGCCTTCTTATACAGACAAAGCCCACCTGCCTAGGGATGGTGCCACCCATGGGAGGCTGGGCTGTCCTACGTCAATCCTCAGTCAAGATGATCCCTCGAGGGCATGGCCACAGGCCAGTCTCACTAAGGCAGTTCTTCAGCTGAGGGTCACTCTTTCCAGGTGACCAGTTCTAGGTTGAGTCAACTTGAGGATAAAAACCAACCAGGATAGAGAGTAAATTGCTTACTGCGAAAGCATGAGGACTTGAGTTCGAATCCCCGGCAGCTGCTTAAAAACCTGACGGGTGGCAGTGCACTTCTGTAACCCTGGTCCTGGACGATCCAGGGGTTTGCCGAGAGGTCAGCCTGGCCAATCAGTAAGCTCCAGGTTCAGTGAGAGATCCTGTCTCAAAATAATAAATAACAAACATAACAATAATTTAATAATAATAATAGGGAGTGACAAAGGAGGGCACCTGCTCTTGACCTCCAGCCTCTGCGTGTGTGTGAACCTGCATACACACACTCAGAAGTGGGCTGAGAAAGTCAAGTCAAGGCCTGGGCCAGGGAAACACCAGCTCTGTTATCTATGGCTCTGGCCACAGGAGAACAGCGAAAGGTCATGTCGAAGACCTGGAGAACTCTGTTCTCTCGGGAAAATTCTGGGCCCAGAGAAAATACAAACGACTCTGTTTTAGGAACTTGGGAAAGTTCCTCTCCTCACATCCCTTCAGAAGGCGCAACTGAGGGGGGCGCTCAGGTGAAACAAGACCGAAAATCAAGAAAGGGAGAGCCTTGGGACCCAGGGGACGGTGGACCCAGCTCAGAAGGGCAGGGGTAGCGTTCTGGGGGCACTGCTTCAGGCTGCCCAGGGACAGTCCAGCCCACCCTGCCCCATCCACTCTATGAGGATGCTGCCCTCGGGACAAGGACTGGGGCAAAATTTGAGGGCACCTTACAAGAAAGAGAAAATAAAAGCAGTGAGCAAAAGCCAGCAGACACAGGGAGTTCCACCAAGCAGGTGTGACACACAGGGGTTATTTTAACCATGGCGCATGCTGGAGACTGAAGGATGGACAGGGAGACCGGTAACCTTGGTGGTAGGCGGGTTCTCCTCAAAACGGATCTGGAGCTATGTATAGATATATTCCTTATATACACTCACACAGACACAGACACACGCACACACACACACATGCATACACACACAATGGCACACATCATACTTATACAGTTATAGTCTTTTTAAAAGTCTGCTGTAGAAGACATTTATAGTTAAAAACTAAATGTGCAAAGCGGTTTATTCACAGCAGAGGCAGAGATGAAGGGGGCAACCTCACACTCCTCTTTCCTACTTGGTCCTCTGTCTTAGACTCTTAGACTGGGGAAGAAATGCAATAGTTCCATATGTAAATATGGAAGATTCCGACAGAGCCAAAAGAAACTGTCAGACGTTGGCAAGTCCGTGAGAAAATCCTCCCCTGTGTTCTTTAGAATTGTGGAGTCAGATTTGCTACAATCAGAAATAGCAGTGGCTAACAGCGAACAGTGAGCTAACTTGGCAGTATCTCCCCTTGTGGAGAGCCCATGGTTTCTTCGTGGCTTGGTTTGGGCCCGAGTGCCTCCCTTTTTTTGGGTTTTTGTGTGAAGACCCCTTGGTTCCAGCTCGGGTGGGGATGGTAGGGGGCCCAGAAATTGGCCATGATGATATATTCAATGCAGATGGGGCCCAGTGGCGGCCCAGGGCACCGCGTGGGTCACCTGTCTCAGGACTTCTCTGAGGGGACCGGGACCTGCAGACAGCAAAGAGACACGGTCGACTCCATCTTTTCTTCTTCCCCTTCTCTGTCACAGCGGGTGTTCGTCTGGGACCTGGACGAGACAATCATTATTTTCCACTCCCTACTCACAGGGACTTTTGCGTCCAGATATGGGAAGGTAAGGGTCCATTTTATTTTGTCTTTCTCTTTAAAAAAAAAAAAATGCACATTTATGTGTTTGCTTACTCTGCATAGGCCTGTGTGTCTGGGTCTGGGTGTGAACATGTGTGGCACTGTGAGGCTGTGACGGTCAGAGAACAACTTGGGGAAGTCCATTTTCACCTCCACCGTGTGCGTCCTGGAGCTCAGAACTCCCATCATCAGGCTTGGCAGCAGGTGCCTTTGCCTACCCAGCCAACCTGCTGGCCCTTTTACATGTTTGCAAAGGTGGCTGTGTGCCCAGGCTGCTTGTCCTGGGAATTGTGGGGCTTCCTCATGAGCAACTCGTCAGCCCAAAGCTGCTGCCTCTTTGGGTTAGCCCAGGATCGGACCCTGTGAAACGTTCCTTTGGTGCGTGAAAATTTCACACGCTTCCTATCTACCATCTCAAGCCTTTGCTTCCAAAGCATGGAGTCATCAGCGTCTCTAATCATCAAAATCTGTGGGGGTCTACTTCCTTAACGGGCAGAAGTATACCACAGGTAGACGCATAGTAAGCTAGAAAATGGGGTGAAGTGCTTTTGTACTGCCTGGTTATCTAGCAGGTGTCACAGGCATGAGTGTCCTGTCTTCCTCTTGCTTCTCTCTCACGGAACCTGGAACTCGCTCATATGACAAGACTGGCTGGCCAGCCAGCCCCAGGACCCTGTCTCCGCTGCCTCAGCTCTGGGCTACAGGTGCACACAGCGTGTCCGGCTTTTTACACAGGTGTCGGGGATCTGTGGACTCAGGTCCCTCAGGCTTGTGCGGGAGCGGTTTACCGACAGCTGTCCCCACAGCCTGCTGCAGACTTGGCATACCTCAGACAGATGAACCGGGGACATCCACCGTCTCCACAGGCCGGGCGACATGTAGGGCGTTGAGGGCTGCACCTAAGAGGGAAGTAGAGTAGCTGCCTGCCGGGCGGTGGGGGGTGGGGGGAAACAGCTGCTTCCAGCCCTGGTGGGGAAGGAGCCTCACCAGGCCTGGGAAACCCTTTTCATCCTGCTCAGTGTGCTGGGCTTGACATCACCTCATGGCTTTCCCAGCTGCTTGCGGTTTTTATGGCGGCTGTAACAAGCTGGAGGTGTGATTAACAGGGTAGATTTATTGTCTGCCATGATGCTGTGCCGGATATAAAATAAAATTAAAAAAAAATGGTGTCAGGGCGTAGAAATCTCCTGCCCGTAGACACACCATTAATATGTGCAGTAGGACGGCGGCATGCGCTTTCAGGTTCCCGTGATGCTTAGGTGGGCGCCAGCAGCAGGAGGGGCTGTAGACACAGGTGGACTCAGCAGCCAGAGCAAATGTGTGCCCTCCCCTGGGGCCGTGACTATCAGGCACTCTCTTCCCCAGGGCTGTTGTGTGTCACCCAATAAGGCTGTTTTGTGGGTATCCATCCACCCAGTGAGCTCACTACCCCAGGTACACACTGGATGGTTCTGGGTGAGCTCAGGGGAGTCGGCCTTCCTTGATGTGAGTTATGCTGTGAGGGCCCTTGAGGGAAGGACCCACCAAGCACTCCATCCTGGGTCCCACGCCCTTGGTGCCTATCATTCCTCAAGGCCGGCCTCCCCTCCCCAGCCCCACTCCTTCAGTCAAGACACCACCTTCCGCCAGCAGCCTAGCTGGTCCCCCAATCCCTGCTTTCCCGCCCACTTGTCCCAGCCTCTCCAGCAGCTGTGAAGGCAGGTGCCTGCTGCCATGCTCAGCTTCCATTCCTACCGCTAATGTCACTTTCTTCAGGGGCCCTTTCCTAACCACTTCCATCTTAACTGCATCTCTCCCTAGAAAGGCATTTTGTGCACTTTTACCATAATTCTGCACTTCATGCACACCCCCTTTGTAGACACGAAGGACTCAGAGGTTAAGAGACCATGAACATTTCTCACCTTCTCAACCCAGCATGGGTCAGGACATAGGCTTGCTTAATGAGCATTTGCTGGGGGAACGAATCTGGGTGATCGCCTAGGAAGCCTCTGGAGGACCAGAGCTTCCATTTCTGTCTTGTTTGTTGCTTCATGAAAAAGTAGGATGCAGTTACAGAACATAGCCTCCCACTTAGCAAGCATCGAGTAAATATTTGCAGGAAAAAGGGATGGAGAGAGGGAGAAAGGAGAAAAGGGAGGAAGATAGTGTCAAAGCAGAATTTCTAACTGGTGGCCACTGGCCAAATTCAGCCAGCAGATATTTTTGTTTGGCCTCTAGAGTATTAAAAAAAAAAAAAGTGAATTGATCGCCAACATTTAAAAATGAGGCAATTGCACAGACCAAACAATCCAGATTTCCAGCTCTTCTTGAAAAATGAGGAAATCTGGCAAGCCGGCACTCCCCTGTGACAGCAATCAGCAGGAACCCAACAGCGGCTGCCCTTAGGTAACTCGTTTTCTCAGGGCCTGTGGCCCACCTCACCCAGTGTTGGGCTCTCTAGCCTCTTGGGTATCTGAGTTCCAATGCTCTAGAACTGCCAGGCTGTAGAAGGCCAGAGCTGGAAAGATCCAAAATCCACCACATGAATTCAGTTTCCATCATTTGAAGAAAAAACTGAAGCTCACAGGGAGTAAGATCATCCAAGAGAGAAGGGAAGTAGGACACAGGCTCATCTGCCTTCTTGTGTAATCTCTAGATGTCCTCATTCCTCTACTAGAATCTTCCATTCCCTCCCCCAGATCCCTATAAGGTAAAAAAGAAATTAGGGTTTTTATTTGCAAAGTCCGGTAGACCTGAACTTAAGATCCTTGAAGTAGCTGGCAGCAGTGGCCCATACCCTTAATCCCAGCATGTGGGAGGCAGAAGCAGACAGATTCCTGTGAGGCTGAGGCCAGCCTGGTCTACAGAGCAGGTCCCAGGCCAGCCAGGGGTACACAGAGAGATTAAGTCTCAAGATACAAACAAACAAAAACCTAGAATTAGCAAGGTAACTTGCTAATTTCTCGTGTGTATATGCACACATACACACATATTCACAACATACAGATACATACATATGTACACAATCACACACAAACATATACACACATACACACACACACTTACACGCACCCCTCACAGTTTGGGCATAGGTAACTTAAGCCGGACCAGCAGCAGGAATGGAGGCTCCCCCAGGCTTGCTCTCCGCCATCCCAGGAACGTTGGTCATTGCCAAGATTACTCACAACTCACCTCATGTCTGCATTCCAGCCAAGAAGAGGGCATGTGAAGAGGAAAGCCACTCTTCCTTTTCGTTTCTTTCCTTTTTGCTGTCGTTGTCATTGTTAAATTCTACAGGAATGGTTGTTTTGCCTGAATGTGTGTCTGTGTACCTGGTTCCAGGGTGCTGGGTATCATGGACTTAGATACTACTGTGAACCACCACGTGGGTGCTGGGAATTGAGCCCAGGTCCTCTGAAAATGCAGCCAGTGCTCTTAACTGCTGAGCCATCTCTCTTTTCTTTTCTTTTGCCCCACTCTTTTAAGGGCCAAGCCCAGAAGTGACACATATCACTTCTGTTCACATCTCATTGGCTGAAAGTTTATCACGTGACCACACCTAGCTGCAAGGTGGTCTTTCTCTGAGGCAATTACACGCCCAGTTTAAGATGCAGGGTTTCTGTTGCTCTGAGGAAGAGAAAAGAGAAAGAGATAATGGAAGGTAACTGGCAGTTTCTAGCCCAAAGTACTGCCCAGCGTACAATTGTCTTTGTTTATGAGACAACTGGATTTGTGAGTCTGAGCACTAGAAAGAGGTCCAAGCTACAAGTCTAAGCCAGGAAGTCAGAGAAATGGGAGCAGCCAACAGGAGCAGAACTTTGGGCCCATTTTACAGACAGTAACCAAGACCCAGGAGCCAATGCAGTTGGGATATTCCTAACAACTAGAACCCATGGCGTCCACTTCTGGCCTGCTGTTCTTCCTCTGCTATAGTTAGGGACCTGTTCCTGCCAGCTGAGAGCAAGCAGCTCTAGGTTTGAAGCTCGTATAGGTGTGCCTCACAGGGAACCGATCAAATAGCCGTACCTGAACTATCCAGGGATCCCTGGGCTGCAGGTCTGGCTGGATCCAGGAGCAGCATCCTCAGCTCACCCTCAGCCAGCTTCTTCACATAGCCATTGATTCCCTCTCGGCAATCCCAACTGAAAAAGGAGTTTCTGCTTCTCAAATCCCACCCCAAGTCTTGTCCCACACTGGCTCCCATGCCCATCCCAGCCTCTGCACTTCCGCTTACCCAGGCTAGCACCAGAGCCCACTCCTGGATGGAAGAAATGGAGATCAGACCATCCCCCAGGGATAGGCCCCCAAAGGAACCTGAAGCACCTTTCCTGGAAGGGCGGAAGCCCACAGATGCATGATTCTAGCTCTGGAAGCCGAGACCCTCGGGAGAGTCCACGCCCAGGTCCCAGGCCTCACCATTTGCTCTGTTGAGCATTACACAGAAGCAGGACTCACGCCTGCCACAGCCTCAGCCAGAGGAGGAATCCCTGTTTACTTAGGGAACAGAGACCAGAGCTAACCGATTAAGGAATAATTCAAAACAGGGTATTTGCATTCCAAAACAGAAACCTGGCCGTCCTCCTGGTCCCAGTCAGGGGGTGCCGAGTGCAGCTGTCACCTCTCAGTTGCGTGCCAGCCCCTCCTCCCCAGGGCTCAGGGCCTGCAGCCCTGCGGTAGCTACCTCCCACATCTCCCATAGATGTTTCAGTTGTGCCCGCAGAGGTAACTGCTAAGTGCATCCTCCTAAACCCCTTGCCCACTTTTCTCTGAACCCTGCTCTTCCTGTTGGGATTAGAACACAAGGTGGAAGGTGGCAGTGGGGACTTTGCCTGGAACCAGAGTCAGAGCCACAGTCTCATTTTCTTAATTTTGTTACATAGTCTGTGTGCGTGTGTTGCCACACGTGTGTGCCGTGGCACTCCTGTAGAGGTCAGAGGACAGCTTGCACCCTCCACCATGTGGGGGTCCTGAGGATCAAACTCGGGTGTGTGCGGTGGGGGAGGGGAG